TTCCTTCTGAGGTTCGAACCTGCGTCACTCAATGTTGCAATGAGAGACGTTAACATTGAGTTAACAGTGTACGACTATCAGAGTCTTCTATCATTTTCAACTGTTATTTTCAAGGATAAACCGCTTAGAGTGTAATGAAATTAACATCTGTTAAGTAGCTCAATTAATAGCCCACTAAATAAATTGATAAGATAGTTAACTGGTTAACTGAATCCTGATTGGTTCCAACTTTCTCATTACACCTTCGGCTACTCTTCTTTTCTTCTTCTAGGGTATTTCAGTAATTAACACTTATCACTAGAACGCCAGGCAACTTCGACCTGCAGCCCGTAGGGCCCACTCTGTCAGGAGTGAGGGCAAATACCCGCCGGCTATGACATTGACTGATGGTCGCGCTAAAATCACGAATTGGTAGAAATTAGAATCTATGAGCTGGCCAATGAATCGGGTCTCACTGGTTAAATGGTCTACATGCTTGCCTTGTAGCTGAAACGTCATGGGTTTGAACATTGGTGAGCGTGTACATCAGATAAGTCCCACGGTAGGATTAAACCACTGCTCAGTACTCCGTGGTTTTTAATGGTTCTATTACTGATACCAATCCGTAAATCAGACTTTAAGTGATTTCTCCCTGAAAATTTTTATGGAGTGAATCAACCTTTGGACACTGGCATAAATAAGCCATTAGACGTACGTTTAAATGAAAAGTCGTAGAGGGTGTAGTTCACCTTGCCATGATGAAGTGGAAGCTTATCTATGGTGTTAACACTGTATCGCAAATTGACAGCAGTTAGAGTTCACGGACAGATGAATCTCAGTCTAGTGGCAGAGTGTTCAACGAGCTCTACCTATAAGCTGAAGGTCTTGGGTTTGACCTCTGGTTAGTTAGTTGGTACCCATTGTTGAACAGTTTCAAACTAGTCCTTCACAGTTTCCAATGATTCGCAAATTGACGTCAATTCTAGACAGAATTCGTATTGTAAGAAAGAGGTATCTTGAAAACTATGGAGTAATCAACAACGATGTTATTAGGTTTACAGTCTGTCACGGATAATTCCATGTCCCCACTAGCTGTTTAACATCTAAGCCCCTTGTAGCATAGTTTCGTAAACGAGCTGATACGTAAATTTCTGGTCAAAAATTGTTAAAATCTGATCATGTCTCCGATTTATTCTTTTCAAGTTACTCGTCATCTTCAAATTCTGATATATATATATATATATTGGCGAATTCATTTAAAAAGATATGATATATATTGGCCTTTGAGTATGGAACCGAATATACTACTATTTTCAATTGAGCGCTCATATAAAAATTGATTTTTCATTTCAGATCTCATTAAGTACCAACATTACTTGATGGAGTCTTTGAGAACCACAGAGTACTTACTGAATAGCCTTATTGTCCTAGTTTTATTTATTTTTTTTATTTTTGATTTACAGCTTGATTCCACACTGTATTTTCGGTACAAGTATGGAATTTTCAGCATGGATATCGGTAGCCCAAATTTTGCAGGCCGACCATAGATATCAGATGTGCGTCGGTGCGGGCTCGAACCCCGGACCATGTGCATGGTCGGCGAGAGTCCTAACCACTGTGCCACCGACGCACAAAAGACCGCCCCGCGATGATATGCAAGGCGGCTTCCAAAAAAGGAGAACACCAGACGAGAATTTGAACTCTTTGTCAGTGCGCACCCTACCAAGGATTGAACCCATGCCTATCAAGTGGCGGACTAATTGGGTGGAAATGTATGAGTGTTCATACCTTTACTGGTCGTCTATGATATCAGTGAATTATGGCAATCACCTATTGCCTGAAAAACTACTCTCGTTACCAGACCTTAGAAAAACTGGATAACTGCAGTGATAAGCTCCTGTTGATTATATGTCAGTTGATTATATATGTCAGTTGACATTCTCTTAAGGAAGTCGTCTAATCCACTTATCTTGACAACATCATCTTAGCTACTAGCGTCAAGGATGAAGATGTCAAGGCCAGGTCGGATCACATCGGAAAAGTAAGATAAGCGTTCGTTACTCCGTTATCCTTGTGAGGATTTACAACACTCAGCAAAAGAAACTAGATCTGATTTTTCACTTTTAATGTCAAGTTAGTGATCCTCACCAAGCATCTATCTCCATAAAAATATAGAGAAGGTAAAGGAGATAGATTGGATATACATTTAGTAGACTACTATGTGATGCTACACGCCGGGCTGTCAAACGGAACCCGATTGGCAAACAATGAGTTGTCTCTGCAGTGGTGAGATGTAGGTGTACATGTGAGTAAGAAATGAAAGCTTATGGGCAACCGTCAAGCCAGCTGAGGAATCAGAATCATTCCGAATTATAATGAGGAGAGGAGAGGGCTTTCAACAAATACTGAGACTATCTGAATTGGTTTTGGGTTGGCAGACTGTTACTGAAATTATGGGTTTAGAAATTAGGCAGCGAGCCTATATATATATATATATATATATATATATATATATATATAGGTTACCACTTAGTATCTCTCAGTTTGAGGGATCAAACGGGAGCAACTAGTCGTCCAGAAATAATGGCTAAAATAATGACTAACTGGCTTTAAAATCAAAATAGATTAAGGGAGTGTAAAAAGATGGCTTCTGAAGACGAGAAACTTAAGAACTTGAGTTGTTCATTTTATTTTCACCTGTAACTGGCTTAGCTGTAACATTGGACTCCAGCATGCAGTGTGTGCGTGTGAATTTATGAAACTACCCTCAGTATGTAAAAGAGGTCATTTCAGAGAACATGGAATATAGACCATCACTGACGAGGGACTTTCCGACTGTTATTACTACTGTGAGTTGTGCGCTCATATAAGAATGATTTCTCACTTCTGATCTCATTAGGAACCGACATAACTAAGGGAAATCTTTGAGAATCACTGAGTACTTATTGAATAACCGTTTTGTCCTAGTTTAGGACATTTTGTCAGATCACACCCTACCAATAATTGAACCCATGACCATCAGGTTGAGGACCAAGCCTATTCACCATTCAACCACTAGATAGAAAAACTCAATGACCCGTTACCTGTAACGTCTAACAATTCGCAATACGGTGCTATCGCTAACTAATATCTTCGATAAAGAGTCACTCAGCCTTAACAATGATGGGCTGCATAGGCCACGAATATGAGTCATTCTGTTGTAAATGACCAATTCCATCATAACCAAGTCAATAATAGACGTGATTGGACAGAAATGAATGATAGTACAGTGCACCAAAATGTATTCTGTTAGCTATTGTGAAATTAAAAATGTTAAACCATCATGTCTTTTGAAGGATATATTCAAAAATGTCACGAAAATAAAGGCAGACTTCAGAAAGTTTGACTTCTCCAGTGGAACTGATATCATTGACTTATATTCCAGTGATACATGAGATTAAAAAAAATAGAAAAAACAAATTTTTCATATTAGATTTCTCTCACGGTCTCAAATTCTCAATGAAAATCAAGGCATAGTTGATGGATGTTTCCTATCTCCGAGGATAGGCCTCATCAGTAATGCCTGTGAAAGACATTAATTAGTCTATTCCATTGTAATCAACAAAATGAGAATCTCATTCTCGTTATTTGACTTATCTGTAGATGAATTTCTGGATGCATTCATCAGAGTTCTAATCTATGCTATGCAAACGGTGTTACTCCCTAATAAAATTGTATGACAAGTGGAAAAAAGTCAGAATACTCCTTTAAAATAAGTCGAAACGTGTCAGTTTGTTTTCAAAGAAACTTATCCATCTGTTACTGGTTAAATCCTGTCTAAAGAAAAGTCTCTGTCTCTAGCTAATAGAGGAAATTACTACTAAGTACCCTTTGATTGTGGAGTACGTTTCTTTAGGAATGACATTCATCCATTTTTTAGTGAACTCACATCAACTATATTAGTTCAGGTAGGTAGCTACCTAGGGTTCTAGTGAGAAGTCAGGAACAGTAGGGTGCAGCAGGTCGGGTGTAAGGACAAATACTCGCCACGGAAGACATTGGCTAGTGGTCGTGCCAATTCGTGAATTGGCAGAAGATGGAATTCATGGGCCGTTGGATCGGGTCCAGTGGCTTAATGGTCCACGAGCTCACCTTGTAACTGGGAGGCACTGGGTTCGAACCCCGGAGGGTGCGTACTTCTGAAGAGTCTTAAACTAGAACGAAACAGCCATCTAGTACTTCTTGTTAGTTTTCTAGTGGTTCTCTAACCAATGTCAGCTCATGATTAAATCCTGTAACTACATAAGTATTTCAGGTTTGATCACGCACTAACTTCAGCCAGAAAGCCATTGAAAACTGGAGAGTAGTGTACAGCTGTTTCGTCCTTTTTTGTGATTCTTCATCAGTGTGAGTCCACACACTACCTTTAGGTTACAAAGCTAGCTGCTCGACCATACAACCATTAACACTGAACTCGGTGACCTATCACTTCTAACTTCTACCGGTTGACAGTCCATATAGAGGGATCGGCAGCTATTATCATCCGCAAGTATTCACTCTTACACCCAACTTATTGGATCACTTTGGTCACTATATCGAATTAGAACCCTGAGGCAACTTCTTTCTGTTGCCAGTCATTACTGACCGATTACAGAACAAAGTTGCACGGACTATCAGTGAGAAGTTATGACGAGTTCCGTCTCTCTGAATTAAGTGTGAGAACGAATACTCAGATATGTGTGACTCTAATGTCATCAAAAAATAATATAAGTTGCTTCAAGGGTCATTGAATGCCGGCCTAAGTACCTGAATAGTTAACTGGTTAATCTTACAACCTGAAGGTCTTGAACTGGATCCTCAGATGAAGTTATAGTTGCGTACTATTGTGAAGGGTCAAACTAAGACGAAATGTCTGTCCAGCACTCCCTGCTAGTTTTCACTGGTTCTCTAAGGGATATAAAATCCCTATAAACTAACACTTAAAAATATGAGGTAAAGAAAATAGGAAATAAATCGAATTTTAACAAAATGTTCTTTCTTACCTGATCTGGATCCACCGCTGGACAACTTTTCAGATGATGTTGACGATGAGGTTGACAGGGATTTGTTCTTTTGTTCTCTCATTTTCTTTCTCCGGGAGTGGCTTAATGATCAGTATTGATAATCTTGGTGTAAACGTTTCTGATTTATCGTTTTCAAGCGTTTATCTGCAGGTTATTGTGCAGTTCTGCTATCGCTAATTATTTTATAGAACTGCAAACGTTATTGTCATTGTTACCTGTTTTCCCTAAAAGACACTAAGCAACATTACGAGTATGTGTGTGTGTGTGTATTGATAAAAAATTGAGGCTGACTGACTATGTAAGTGTCTTACATATTTTCCCACATATAATGCATAAAGAAAGGGAAATTTTCCCTCATCTCTCCATCCATCCATCCATCCATCTATCCGTCAATCCATGTATCTATTAATCCACTTTTCTCCTACAAAAATATAGCAAAAAGGAGGGGGGTGGGGGGGAGATAAAGCAATAGAAGACGACAAAGTATATTTCTTTTGTGATGTTACTAGCCAGAAGATTTTACAGAGGCGTGTAACAATTTTTTTACTTCCTATCCAATCACTTTTAAAAATGGCAAGCTACTTTAAGTGAATCAAATGACAAATAAATAAATAAATAAAGTCAGAGAGGGAAATTTAAGCTTTTAATTTGATTCGTTAATTTATCAGATTTATTTGAAATAGACCTCTTTTTGTTGAGAGGAAAAGAAAGCAGTTAAGGAAAGAAGGCAGAAAAGTGGATACATCGAAAAATTTAAGGCAGAGGACATATAGGTGTGAAAATTTTCTTCGTCTTCAAAAACTGTTACTATTATTTTACTACTCATAAGTAGCTTCTTTTTTCATGTTTAGGAGTTAGTAGTTTCCTAGTGACGATTTAGGTTGTGTGTGTGTGTGTGTGTGTCTGTGTGTGTATTACTAATCTGAACAGTTAACTGACTGGAATTCGGGTCGTTTTGAAACGATTCGGCACACAGTTACAAAACGCTACAAAGAAAGCAAATAGGCAATTAATTGTGACTGGAATCTATACGTAGTTCTATTCAGCGACAATAGTAACACCAGTAGGGTGCAGCTGGTCGGGTGTTAGGACAAATACTCTCCGAAGACATTGGCTAGGGGTCGTGCTATGTCGTGAATTAGAAGAAGTTAGAATCCATGTGCCATTGGATTGGATCCCAGTAAATGATGAATAGTCTACGAGCTCGCCTTGTAACCAAAAGGTCCTGGGTTCGAACCCTCGTTGTGGATGCGTACTGATGAGATTAATTCACAGAAAAGCTACTCTGAGAAGAACATTCTTTGCAGCAACACTAAGAATAGTGTTCTCCAGTCGCCCCCTGATCTGCAGTAGCCTCAAAGACAAGATCCCGCATCTAACCACTTCTATGTGCATATATCGGTTCACCTGTTGCTGTGGATCCAGCCAGGTACATCGGTCGTTCGACGCGCATCCCGTCCAAGAGGCTTCAAGAACACTATCCAGCATGGTTGAGTAAAGCCAATATTGGTGCAATAAGGAGTGCGATAATTGAACACCTGGTTAACACTGATCATTCCATTTCAACAAACGCCTCCTGTCAAAGGCAATACAGTTTCGTCTTCTTTGTATCTTTGAAGCTCCGGTCATTCAAATATAAAAACCGGAGCTGCGCATACAAAAGAGGATTGCTTAACCACTTCTACTCTCATAGTAACAACTTTGTTGATTATGATGACTTAATTTTGTTTGTTTGCCTGTTCTTTAATTGCTTATAATTCTTGTATTCATTTAGAACTCTTACGTAACTTCGTATTCTCTTCTTTGTTCCTATGTGCATTTTGAGTAAAACTCAATCAACAGACTATTCATATCATTACATAACTTCATTTTCAACAACTGTTTGTGACAACTCATCACCTTTGTTACTACCCTAATTTCATTAACACCCACTTTTCTTGACTGATCTTGTATTATGTAACTCCAACAAACAATCCTCACCTGTTTAGTTAAAATAACCATAACCAATTGTATTTTTGTTTGATAAACTTAATGTACATGTACATATAAAATGACACATATATATTTGCGATTGTACAGCTATGAAAATGAATTCGCCGCCGAAAAGAGACTCTTCGCTGAACTACGTGTTGTGTTTTCATTAATGCCTAGATGGGGATTATTCATGAATATTGTTCAATGTGAATATGAATATGAAATTAGATTAAGTGAAAATATTAAAAAGGATATAATAATGGAGAAATAGGAAAAAAGAGGGCCATTAACTGATTGTTTTGCGATAAGTTGGTAGTGTCCTGCCTTATACTTTCCTTATCACATGAAATATAAGCTAAATAAGGTTAGGTAGTTTATGCATTTAGTCAGTGGAGCATATGGTCTTCTATAGTTACTTCTTGTTCCCCTACTGGATAAGATGCAAGAAGACAGTTGTGTATAGAGAGGTAGTTCAGGGTCTGACGGCATAATGTTTGCTAGTTTCTTGCAGGAGTTCATGTGTCTATCTACAATAGTATTAATATATTGGCGTAGCGAGAACCTACTCTACCTACCAACCTATTTTAGTGCCCTTAGGAATGTGACAAAGCCTTTCTTAATTAGTCTAGGATAGATTAAAGGGGTGGGGAGCAACACAGAAGAATAGGTAGAATATAAGAATTAACAAACTGTATAAGTGGAGACTGACTGACCGATACCAAACTGTATTAACTTCCTAATGTAGAACACTAAACGCAATATCTTTCTAGAAACTGACATGATATGAGCAGACTAGGAAAGACCAGACGGGATGCGCAGTACAAAGCACTCAACATCCTATTTAGTTTCGATTTCTGTGCCATCTGTGGTAGTGGAACCATGAGAAATAACCAGTTCATGTTAGTGGCACTTGCGTCTGAAGTTAACCACCTGACATTTGTAGAAATTAACCTTAAGACCATTCGATAGGGACTACTGACTGATTTCCAATCAATCCATCACTCAAGCAAAATCACATCATACAACAAAATATCAGTGTCCACAGAACTACAGACAGAAGCATCAGAATAAGAAATTAAACAAGCAGAAAGACAAATCAGTAAGGATCAAATCTGCATGTGATATGTAAAGGTCAAAATAATGATCTACAATCTTTGAGAAAAACGTATAATTAATACAAAGTTAGTTGAAATGCCCAAATAAGCGTAAACAATGGGATTCAATCGTTCATGAAGGATTCTCCAAACAGTCTTTCCGTTACACACGGTGTTCAGACCGCCTTTATTTCACTAGTAAGCACTGAAAATGGACATGAGTGGTATTCAGTTGCTTTAATCAATTAGTGGTATATACTGTGTCGTTTTATTTTTTGTTGTCAGTTTTAGAATTCATATAGGGGTTTACAGTAGGGTTCATAAAATTGGATATAAAAGAGGAAGAATAACTCATATTTGAAAGAATTCGACATGTATGTAAATAGTGTTCACAAAAGATTATTTCTGATCTGTGTGATTTGCTCCTAATCTACAGATTTGTATATCGCCACCTGCTTGTGTTCTTCTAACCTACCATTACAGCATTCACTTAAGAAAGCCGCTCTGAGTAATTTTAATTGACTCATAGCTGAGTCCTTAATGTTTCCAAGATGAACGTCGACAAATGATCAGCGAATGTGTGAAGAACAATCTTAGCTTTGGACTACTGTACTCCGTATTGAATGAATCCACCTGCTCTTGTGAAGTTAGCTGTATCGGCCTCGCAAACGGCACACTTTCCAAACGCTTCTCTGATTACTATTCGACATGGTTATTAGGGGATAGTGTGGGTTATTCTTTATCTCAGTGAAGTCAGACTTCATAGTTTCATTAGAGTTCTCTTTATCAAATTATCTATAAAGTAAGACCGAATGTCGTAAAGGGTGTTGGGAAAGCAGTGCTAGTGATTCTCTAATATAAAACCTCAGATTATTTTTGCGGGAAAGGTTTGTTCAGTTTCTTATTCTATCATGATTATTATTATTGGTCCGTTGGGATCCTAGTGGAACATAAGGCTTCAAATGCATATCTCCACTTGCTTCTGCCTTCTGCTGCTGTACTTCTCACCTGCATCCATACATGTTAGTCCATACTCTTTCAACTCCTCCTCCTATTCACACGATCTCCTTCATGTCACCCTTGCACTGACATCCCACTCACCTCTTCCCTTTCAGCCTGGTTCCACTCGAACAGTGGCCTGACGCGCGCGCGATGTCACTCAGTGGCCTCCTCAGCCACGAGTGGCCAATCCATCCACCTCCACTTTCTCCTGCATATTTGTTGGTTGGCGATTGGTTCTTGTTTTGTTTGTTTCTTCACATAGTTTCTCGTTGGTGATTCTTTCCTGCCCGACTACCTGATCTTTAGTTTAGATCCAGCGAAGACAGTTGTTGGTTGATGAAGGTCTGCAACAGGCTGTTGAAAATATTCTTTGTGACCCCCCCACGCCAAGTTTCTCATCCGATCCGTATAGAAGAACTGACTGACTTGACGTTTGTATTGAAAATCCGACCGAATTTTGTTGTTGATGCTGGCTGAGTGACGAAGATTTCCAGATTGATTTCAGTCAGGTTGATGAATGTGTTTCTCGCTCGCCTTCCCGATTCTCGCTCGATTTGATATCCTCGTCCGTCCCGACTGCCTGTGTTGAGAGAATGCTCAATTCTAGATAAGTGAATGAATGAAGTGACCTCTTTCAAATCCCTCCCGTTGATGGTGATTGGCTCTGGATGTTGATGCTGTTGTTGTCATGGTCATGCCCCCACATTGCTCAGTAACAAACTGCAATGTATTTCGATGAGCATAAATACAATTTTGTTGTCTTTGTAGGTGACCACGTAGATAAGGAAGATCTCTTCTACACTGAGTTGTCTTTTATTTTTTTGGTAACTACAGCCTACTTAATAATTCCCCAAACAACTTCACAGTTCGTAACGTCAGCAATAATGTTAAGTCACTATTCGTTACGCAATATTTAGTTAGTAGATGACTAGAATCTACAAACAAGAGGCCTGAGTAGAGAACCAAATTCAGAGCAAGCTGATAGCATTTAATTCCGTATTAGGCAGGTTTATTTGATATGACATGCAGCTTATTGCTCATAATTATCACTTCAACATATATATGTAACAACAGAAGATAAGGGCCAGGCAACAGATCATTTTATCACGGAAATCAACACTTGTTTATATAAATTTCACATACATTATTATAGCCTAGTTAAGTAGACAAACGCAGTCTTCTGATTGGTTGTTTCCGAGTTCCTCAGAAAGTGGAGCCATCTATCTGCGAATCATATTTGCCCACGCTTAAGTTTTCTGTGACTGGTTGTTGAAACAGCCTTGTTCATATTTTC